GTAATTGGTGAGTGATCTCCCTGTCTTTAAGTTGACACGAGCCTTTTGTTATATTTTCTCTCCCCTGTTCAGCTGAGGAGGGGAGTGACAGAGCAGCTTTGGTGGGCACCTGGCATCCAGCCAGGGTCAACCCACCACATATTCAAAAGTAATATTCTCTGGCTGGTACCTTTAATGGGATGCTGGAAAAAAAAACTTTGCTCCTATTAAATGCCTGCCTGTGGGGCAGAACCTGGAAAAACCTGTATGAACCTGGAAACACTTGTATTTTTGAATGAGAAATGGCAAGAGAAGGTTTTGCAGAAACTTAACAGTACATTCATGAATGTATAGAAATCAAGGGAAACACTTAAGGGGTTTTCTTCCTTTTGAAGAGCTGTGCAATGCACATCTTTAGAAAAAAATCATTATTGTGGTAGAAGGACATGAAGGAAGAGATTGGGGAGCATCTGTGATTTCTATGTGAACTCTTGTTAAAGTAATTGCTTTGCATGTGAGCTAAAGGTTTATTCCATACTTTTGATAGAGACTATCCCTTGGTGGAAGCATCTAGATCTGATGTGGTTCTAGGAAATGAAACACTGAGATCTTTACATAGGTGAACTGAGAGCCCACCTTCTCCTATCAAATCATAACTTCCGTGGGTAAAATACAGAAGGAAAGGACTCCAGGAAAGCTGCTTACCTTCCTGTATATGGAGCCCTCTGAGGTACATTAGCAATAAATATATGCTGCAACTTGGCTTGCTTTCTTAATACTGAGGCATTCTGTAGGATCTGGACTGTTGGTGGCAAAGGAGCTGTGTGACAGGTGAGCTTGCTCTGGGAGCAGAGTGTGAGGGTATTCAGAAACCATCCCAGTGGACAGTGTTGGCCAAAAGACTCTGATCTGGAGTAAAGATATGCGTGGTCACTAAGAATGGGATTCAGCTCCAGGGTGTGGTTGTCTACACATGGGTATCTGCATGTGAGCTAGGGGCCTTAATTCATGCTATTATCAACGGGGGCTCAATTCAGTTGCTTACACATAGATGTCTAGTCTGTTTTGGGTGGTCTGGCTACTCTAGCAGTGCAGGTTTCTTGAAGATCTGGAGTTCTGTCTGCCAGCTCCACATGGATGCCTTGGATGCTGGAGAGCATCTCAGATGTCACCATACTGTGTACATGCAACTGATTTGAGCCCTGAGATCTTTCAGTGGAGTCAGTGGAATCTGGAGAGCCATTCAGTTGATAAGGTTCAGGTGTCTACCTCAATGTGAGTGGACTCCAGCAGAGCTGAACTCTGTTACTAGCTTAGACATCTACCTCACATGTAGACATGGACATTTAGACACCTATGTTTAGGGTGGAATTTGTATCTAGACTGGAGACACCCAAGTGTGGATTGCAAATGGATGAGTTTTAAGGACCCTGCTTTTCATAAGGTAAGTGGGTTTTTTGATATCCCTCCCTTTCCCAGCTGTTCCCTAATCACTTGATCCTGCTTCTGTTACAAGACCTTCAATTGCCATATTTAAATGTTTTTTTTGTAGGCTCTCATGTAGTTATGGAATGTAATATATCAAGTGGCATAAATGGCTTGATTCCATTCTGGCAAGTTAATGATGAGGATGTTGATAGCTTTGATAGCACCTACAGGGAACAGTTTTATGAGTAAGTATCCTTGTACATGGAATTGTAAGTGCTTTTCTAGGTGAAGTGATCTGCAGCAATTTGCAGTGAATTCACCATAAAGTTTACTACTAGTCATTGAAAGACTGATTAGAAGTCTGCATCAAGTACCTTACATTCTTATTGCTTGGTTTAAAAAAAAATAAACATTTTATTATAAATACTGATGTATCTGATACAAATGTAATGAAGCAATCATATGTAGGTTTTTATAATGCTGTTGTGAAACATATAATTTTGTAAGGCTTATTTATGCACTTGTTCTTATGCGATCCTTTTTGCTAACAGATTAAAGCCTGCCCTCTGTCCTTAAGTATGGGAAGGATAGATTGTTCCAAGACAAAAAAACCATCCCACTTACTTTTATTTGTGAAGTTGGTCTTTTTCCAAGTACAGACACAGCTGCTGATCCTCAAGAACACAAAGCAGAAGCTCTTGTTGCAGGACATTTAGGACATTTTTTTATGTTTGGGAAAATCAAACACAAATTAGGCTGATAAAATCAGCAATTTCTTTCGAGAGAGCAGGACCTTTGTTACTCAGTGACTGTCTATGCTGTAGCAGAGTGTGGATGTACAGTTTGCTTTCTCATTGTATCAATCGCTGCTGTTAAATATAACCCTTAAAATGTAGTGCAAAGAAGAAAGAAAAAAAAATTGCAGCTGATCAGTTCACACTCATGCAGAAGCATTGCCATCTCCATGAAGTGCCATCATCAGTGCAAAATATGGCTAGAGAGTTAGGTTGCAGACTGCTTTTACAGTTATTTTTTTCATTCATCTGTATCTGGCTTCCAGAAAGCATCTTAGTTCTACTTTGTCTCCAAGTTCCTTTAGGGGGAATTATTACTTTCATTATCGATCTGTATACTTTGTTGTTCGTCTATAAATATTAGGGCCCCAGCTTATGGTCTCTAAGGCACAACTAAGCCCATTATTCTTCAGGGCATGAAGTTTCTCAGCTTCACCAGTTAGGACACATGTGGAGCTCTGGGTAGCTATGTTTAAAGTTACTGTAACTGCAGCTTCTTCTGAAACCAACTTGGTGCTGCTATTAAACACATCTTCCGGAAAAGCATTTAATGTATTTAACTTAAAGCAATTCTCTGTTAAGATTTTTGGCTCGCTTGGAAGTGATCTCCATTTCTAATCGCTTCCCTGCCTGATAATTTTCCCATGCCAGAGATGGAGATGTGCAAAATACATCCTGCGCAAGTTCTAATTAGGATTAATAGTTCAAAGTTATCCAGTATCAGAGAAATGAATCTAATTGCAATAATAATGTTTTATTTAAAAAAATAGCAGCAATTTCTCAGCAATTAAATTTGTGGAGCGTTTGCTAGTAGCAAAGCACATTGTAGGCATGGCCAACATTATGGGCTTGAGGGCTTACACCTAGGAGGTAATTCTTTCCTCTGCTGGGAGGAAAGTTAAAACTGACTTGAACAAATCTGAACATGTTGCAAAATGATGAGGTTTGTATTGGCGTTGCATGACAGAAGTTGCTGGCAATTATATATGTAACAGAAACTGGTTCTTCAGGATGTTCTGCAAAATGAGTTTTCCTCCTTGAGCACATAAAGTCATGTCACTTTGGTATATAGGGTAGGATGCCAGTTTGTAGGTACCTTCCTGCTGCAGCCCCTCCCACCTCATACTTGTAAACCTGCCTTAGAGCAGAATGGTATTTAACAGGATAGCATATTATATCTCCAAGCCTCTTGTGGCAATAGATATCATCCATAAAGTCAGTATCACCGTGTTTGTTGTCCTTTGGTGCCAGGGTCACCCAGCTTTTGTGAATTTTGTTCATCATTATTTCCCAAGTTGGTTGGTGCCATTGACTGTGGACAGTGTGGGCTCGGAGAGTCTTAGTATGCTTAGAAAGGTCTCTGCTTCATCATCAGTATACAGAATCCTGGAAGATGATTTTTCTCTTGACACTTTTATTACTAGTTATTACTGGTTTGAATAGTCTTCCATTCACAGAATCATTTAGGTTGGAAGGCACCTCTTGAGATTGTCTAGTCCAAGCCCCCTGCTCAAGCAGGGTCAGATAGAGCAGACTGCTCAGGGCTGTGTCCAGTTGGGTTTTGAATATCTCCACAGGTGGAGACTTCACAACTTCTCTGGGCAACATGTTCCAGTGTTTGACCACCCTGACAGTACTAAAGTGTTCAGCTGGAATTTCAGATGGGAAAGTGTTTCAATTTGTGCTCATTGCCTCTTGTCCTGTCAGTGGGCCCTCCTGAAAGGAGCCTGGCTCCCTCTTCTCCACTCCTTCCCGTCAGGTATTTACACATACTGATGAGATCCACTCCCCATCCCCTGCCCCCGAGCCTTCTCTTCTCCGGGCTGAACAGTCCTTGCTCTCTCGTATGACAGATGCTCTACTCCTTTAATCATTTTCATGGCCCTGCACTGGACTTACTCCAGTAAATTCATACATCTCTTGTATTGGGGAGCCCAGAACTGGCCCCACTACTCCAGGTGTGACCTCACCAGTGCTGAGTAGAGGGGAAGGATCATCTCCCTTAACCTGCTGGCAGCGCTGTTCTTGATGCAGTTCAGAATGCCTGGGGACTGGTTATGCCTCCTCAGGTGCAGGATTTGCATTTTGCTTTGAACATCATGAGGTTCCTGTCAGCCCATTTCTCCAGCCTGTCAAGGTTCCTCTGGATGGTAGCATGACCCTCTGGTGTATCAGCCATCCCTCTGAGTTCTGTATCACCTGCAAAACTGCTAATGGTGCACTCTGTCCCACCCAGCAAAAAAACCCCAACAACTCAATGCCAAATGACCACTGGTCATGAAGCTGTTTGTTACAGGGGTGATATTTACTGTGGTTCACTGGCTTCTTAGGTTTATAGAGGTAAAAAATGAATGTTCTTGTGTTTGTGGATAGATGAATCTGTGCCCTATTAGGCACTGATATTTCAGTTTCTCTACAGATGTTTCGTTTTTACCCTTTTTTAATGACAGAGAGGGGATGCCTCATGGACTTGCTGTATCTGGAACAAAATTTAACATTTCAAAAGTGAAAGTAAAGGATTATGCTCATAAATTTTTCTGTCACTTCATATATGGTTCTCAACAATTTACAGCCTACATCAAATTGGAACGCCCAGGTAAGAGATCTCATCTTGATAAAACGGTGATCAATGATGCTTACTTCTCAGTTAGTTTGACAACACCCTACTTAGAGCTAAAACTGCATGATGTACCATGTGCAAAGTGGGCAATGCAGCTCAATACCTTTCTTTGTGAATTTTTTATTGTATTCTTAGCAAAATTAAAGAAAAAGCACTTTTAATTTGCTTTGTCTTCTGTCATTAAGTGTTTTAGGAAACATTAATGAAAGACTCCAATTTATTTGAACTAAGTATGAGACCTCAGTGGAATACTGTGCTTCATTTTACACACTTGTACTTAAAGAATCGTGGAGCAGAGGAGATCATGTGTCTAGAAGAGCAGTGAAAATGGCCCATTCTCTAAAAGAGCTGGAGGGAAGGCATAACTAAGTGTGGAACAGACTGTCAAAAGGACATGAATGTATATGTGGACCTGGTTGTCCTATCCTTCAGTAACAAATACTGGGCTCAGACTGCCAGGAGAAAGGAAAAAAAAAAACCCACCTATTATATAATAGGAGAAACTCGAACAGTGATGATAGTGAAGGAATGAAATAGATTGCTTGGAAAGGTTATGGACTTTCGATTACTGATGCATGTGCTGTGTTATCACCTTCTAGATAGGCTCATGCGCGTTGGTTGGGAGCATCCTGCCACTTGTTGGAGACCCCAGTCTTGTGCTCAGAGACAAGGATAAGTTTGACCTATTGCTGGCTAGCATGACTTTTTTTTTTTTTTTAGTAGATGAACTTAAAGGTAAAGTGAGCTTTGAAAACTCCAACACAAGGCTGAAAAAATTAATTCTTTTTATTTAAAAAACAGATACACAGAAAAGCAAATCACCAGATATTACAAGTGCCCATTTTTTTTTAAATTTAGCTGCAGAAGAGCCTGTGGTCTATTGAGCTTGTATTGAGCTGGCTTTGTCAACTGTGAGCCAATCCTTTGACAAATGTTATTCTCAAACTTACCTTTAACTGGCCACACTGTAAACAAATAATTGACTGAAAGTAGATCTGAGCTCTAGCTTGTTACATAACTATAAGTTTCTTCATAAAGATTGTCAGAGTAGGATTTAACCTCAGAAATCTTTTAATATGCATGAACTAAAAAATGCAGTTTGTGGAGGGTGTTTGTTGTTTTAAGGACAACAAATCTATTAAGGACAACGAATTAGTAGGTTCAATGATATCTTCGAAGAGGCTAGAGACAATGGAAAACTGGTTGGTCTGGGGAGACTAGCATGGTCAGGAAATCACCTCCCCACCTCTGACTTTCTTGCTTTCTGACTGATAAAATTTTGTACAAGAATTCTCACTCTACTGCTGCACTGGGATATACGTCAATATTTTGGTGTTTCAGCTGAAGAGTAGCCTCATTTGTCACATTGCTAAGGTTATCTTTTCTCTGAAAGAGAAGAACAGTCAAATAACAGTATTTGCAGAAAGCATACATGAAAAACTTTCAGTCCTATTAATTCACTCCTTTTTTTTTATATATTTTAATGACTAAGCAATTTTGAACATCTCTTGTCTTTCTCTGGTTCAGTGTATAACTGTCTTGTTTGTTTTCTCTCTTATTCTACTGTACTGCAGTTCAGAACATTCAGCATTACTTAATTGGAGGAGGAGTTTCTTTGGTATTTTTAGTGTTTTTTACTCTCTTTATCTACAAGATCTTCAAAATAGATATTGTGCTTTGGTTTCGGGACTCCTGCCATCCTTTCCTGGGTAAAAAAGGTATGTTTGTGTAACAGTGCTCTGTGTTGTAATGAACCTTCACCTTCCCTTGCAAAGCAATGAGTTAACCTCATGGAGTGTGATTGGTCTTCTTTGGGATTTTTGACTTTCTTTTGTTTTCTACTTGAAGGCACTTCTGATTATTTTACTTTCTGTAAATTCCTGGCATTCAGAAAATGTTGATAGGGGTGCTGTCTATGAGAGTATGCTGAAGTATGGGTCATTTCCAAACATCTGAGAGGAGGTACCTGGCTAGAGAAGCAGAAAATATCTTCTAGAGGTATTGAGGTTCTGATAGATTTCTTTAAAGTCTTTTAAATTTGGTCTTTCTGGAAAACTTGTTCCAAAATATCTAATACAATTCAGACCTTGAAATTGGCCAAACATTTTGGTTTTGTTTTCATATCTAAGTGGTTGCTGTGTTTTGAAACTCCAGGTTAAAAAAATGACCTATGAGTTATATGGCAGCTGGAATTTTAAGTATTCAGTTGTACTACTGGAACCGCTATTTTCCAGATAATTCAGTGATAACATTTTTTTTATTTAGAGTTCAAAAAAGAATATTCAAACCTACTTAATTTTGCAGGTCTCTCTTGCCTATTCAGATCCAGCATACTGAGTTCTAGAAGGCCTGATTCTACAGATATTTCAGGCTTAGTATAATTATACATGCTTAGATAATAGCGGGATTAGGACCTAAAACAATGATTCAAGTGGGGGAAAAAACAGAATTTAGAGATTTTGTTTGTTTGTTTGCTTGCTTTTGTGTCTTTAGAATCCAGTTTTATATTACTCCTATTGCTCACTCTTTAGTTTCAGATGGGAAGATCTATGATGCTTATGTTCTGTATCCAAAGAACAGAGAAAGCTGCTTGTATTCATCAGATATTTTTGCTCTGAAGATACTGCCAGAGGTCTTAGAAAGACAGTGTGGATATAACCTCTTCATATTTGGGAGGGATGATTTACCAGGAGAAGGTAAGCCATCTGAAGACAAATTACACTCGAGTTTTCTCATTGGCAGCTGCAAATACAACTCAGAAACAGGCAATCAATCAGATGTGATTCTAAATATCTCTCACCATTGAATGAGCTATGATTTTCTTATTTTCTCTGATGGAGAATGAGAAATACAGCACTGGGTGCTCCCATGAAGTCTGCTTATCTCAGCCTTTCCCTTGTCATTATTTAGCTCTTCCAGGTTTTTTCAATGTCTGGCTAGCCTAGACATCTGGAGATGGAAGGATGCTGAGGGGAAAAAGAGTTGAAATTGTGGTTGTGAATGATGACTAATGGCAGGAAACATGGAAAAGTAGGTCTCGTGAGTGGTGTGAAAAGAACCTGTTGCTTTGAGGTGCCATTTGATAGGATGACCTCTCCACTGCTTCATTTTTATTTGCTCTGAGAATTGCTGTCAAACCAGCGGGATGCAATAAAGGGTATAACGGATGCTTAGATAGTGCAGGTGGGAAAAAAAAGAATACAAAGCAACACTAAGTTATCAGGAGCGATCAGCTGTATCAAAGACTACTTGTCTCTAGTGAAAGTTCTTACAAAGCATTGCCTTCCTCGCAAGCTTTAAAATCCTTGTGGAGGTTTCCTCTGTGTGCATATGCGCATCAAATTTAAATTTCTAGCGTCTGACACTGAAAATTGCAAAGTCTGTCCCACTGACTGCTTATGTGAGGTGAAATGGTGAAAGTCGTCTGATCCTTCCTGCTCTTATGACTTTAAAAAAATAAATTTGCAGAGTAGGCCTTAAATAGAAGTTTCTGTTTAGAAAAAAAATTGGGTGTGAACAAACGAGCATGTTGGTAACAAAAAATAGAAACATACAGCCTTAATTTTGCACAACCTTTTTTTCTACAGCTGTGATCAGCATCGCTGATGAAAAAATCCATCAAAGTAGAAGAGTGATAATTGTTTTAGTACCAGAACCCTCCTGTTACAGTATTCTGGAAGATGTGTCTGAAAAGCAGCTAGCCATGTATAGTGCTCTTATCCAAGACGGCATTAAAGTAATTCTCATTGAACTTGAAAAAATACAAGATTACACAACCATGCCAGAATCCATCAAATATATTAAGCAAAAGCATGGGGCTATCCGATGGAAAGGGGACTTCTCGGAAAGGTCTCGCTCAGCAAGTACCAGATTCTGGAAGAAAGTGCGCTACCACATGCCATCCAGAAAAAATGGATCTTCATCAGGTTTGCATTTGTTACCAAAAGACTTTAATTCTCCCTAAATAACAAAAGAAAAATGACACTTAGTGACTAATTCAGTTCACATAGTTGGTGATGGATTGATTGAAGCTCACACGTATCTGTTTTGTGCTGACAATCTTATCCAAATTTTCTGGATTGAAGGTACAACTTCATCTACAGATGTGAATAATTTTTTCCTCTGGCCAGATCAACAGAACGCTTTGAAATGTCATGAGTAGCACAGTGATGACATGGAAACCACGTAGGAATACATGAGGCCTTTTCCAAGAATTGCAATGTGATTTGGTGGAATTCTTTTGGTATTAAAAATGGAAGGGGAAAAAAAACTATCAAAAAACCAGAAGACTTGTTTTTTGCAATTAAAGGTTGAATATGAAGGGAACTGTATTAATTAAAATTGTGATATTATGTAATGGCATGGTTGATGCCAGTAAATGTTTTTGTTTCAGTTTTTTTAATGAAATGACACAAAACTTTTCTTTGTTACAAGTTTATTTGCCTTGTTCAGTTTGCTGAAAGATAAATCCCTCTGTGTTACTGCATCAGTGTGTTATCATCCAAGAGAATAGGTAAGAGACAATCCCAGCCCCCAAAAGTGCTATTGAACCTGACAAAGCATAAATACTCTTCCCTGATCTTTTTTACATTTTAAAGAACTGTACCATTTTTAGTCACTTGTCCCATGCAGACATTGTAAAAATACCATTGTAATGCTGTACTGAGTCAAAAAATTAACCTCCAGAGGATTTTTTTTTTTTTTTCCCGGTTAAGTGGCTTAATATATTTATTCTTACTTTACCCGAATGGAACAATTAGCTAATGACATAGACTGTCTCATGGGGAGTACAGGATGGTTGGCTTCATCCGCCTTACCTGAAGGACCAGACCAAGGGGCTTCAGGGCACCCACTTCTCGTGGGTCGCTGTTGCTGAAGGAGAGCAGGTCTTCCCTCCTGTTCCCAGCCAGCATGCTGGCTCTAGCATTTGTCAGCTCTGAAAGCTGAAGCTGGCTGAACACACCAATGTTCTTTTCCTTGGAATGGTTTTCTCCCAGATTAGTGAGTTTATCTGGAGGGTTCAGAGTGCAGTGGGAGAAGAAAAGGGGTGGTGGAACCATGCTTTTTGGCTCCAGATGTGTTTAGAAAATAGAGCTAAAATAGCATTGTTGCCCAGTACTCCTTAAAGTGAGAGAGAGAGGTGCCCTGTGTTATCCCCTGCAGCTGCTTGCTTTTCTCTTTTCCCTCTGCCCTGATGATGTAAGGAATCTGAGGTGACTGTGTGCTGAATTGGGGCTGGATGAATTGGGGCTGGATGAATTGGGGCTGGATGAATTGGGGCTGGATGAATTGGGGCTGGATGATTGGGGCTGGAGTCACACCTTCCAAACAGCTGCTTAGGAAAGGAAGTTGTTATTAACAATATTATGTATGCCACAATTGTTAACTCTGAAGTTATGTTTGACTTGTATGTAGGCAGTGATGTAATGTAATGATCAGTTCTTTTTTTGGGGGAGGCAATTGATTTGATTGATTTTAAAAAATTACCAAATCTGTTTAATGCCATGTTTATACCTATGCATTTTATAGGAGCAGGAAACGTGAGAGCCAAATTGCCTGTGCTTTTCAGTCTGTCCTTGAAAGTTACATTTTTAAGTTATGAGATCTAGTTGTATATGGAAGCTTCAGGATTTGATTGTTACTGCCTTTAACTGCTGTTTGCAACTCTGAATTCCTATGTGTCCTATCAGCTTCTCTCTTGCAGCACCTCTTGCTCTCCTCCTCAAACTCCAGCCTCTTTTCCCATGCAGCTCCCTTATTTTGGAACAAGCAACTTACTATTGTGTCAAACTCCATCACTTTCCAAGCTGTCCTTGAAGGCTGTTGCTAATACAGTATTAGGCAGAAATTTTCCCTTTGAGTTGGTCCTTTGATATCTCTACGTGTTCATCTGAAAAAACTCATGTTCTGCATCCTTCAGAATTTGTCTACTCATTTTGACACTGCAGTGTTGGCTTTTTCTTTTTTCATGGCTCAAGCATTTATCTTCTTACGTCTCCATCCTCAACCAAACAAAACTGATACTGTGAGGTGCCATCCCACGGAAGAACTGCCCAGTGAATGTGGGATGGTGTGACCCTTGTGTTCTGCCTGATAAGTGACAAAATCAGTGGAAATAAGTTCCTCTGACACCTAAAGTGCTTTGGTTACTTCGGTGTGTGCTGGAAACTTGAAACTCTGCTTCTGAGAGGCAGTGCCTTCTGAGCTTTGTGAGTTGAATGTGTTTAGCCAGAATGGAATAAGAATCTCTTCATTTCAGGATAGAAAGGGAAAAAAGTGCATTTGAAACATCAGACTCTTTCAAACTGTCATGGTACTGGAGTGTTTTATTGATGAATGTCGTGCATGTATAGACCAATGCACATGCTTATATTCTGTTCTCATTCTGTGTTTTAGTCAAGACAGAAGTGTCAAGGGAGGATCAGTTCTGGTCATGAAGTGCCACATTCACTTAGCTGTTGCACACAGTCTGCTTTTAAATACGGTGTGTGTTCAGTGACAGTCTGTTGCAGGGTAAGAGAGCTTTGAGATCCATCTGAAGTTACTGAGATCCATCTGAACAAGGCTAATTGTTACAGTTCACATTGATAGAAGAATTTAGTAGGACAGTTTGGTCACAGAACTCTTCTGTAAGAAGATCCCTGTATCAAATGTGAAGACTAGACACTGGAGGTACGGTATTAATACTCTGAGGACTAGGGTATAATACTGACTTTGCACTTCCACCTTGACAGCTTGCAGTATGCAGGCCAGCCAACAGAGTTCCAGCAACCTCGGGCCTCCTGAATTATTTTTGCTGACTGGAATAGATTGAATGAAAAACTGCTTCTTGTTATCCCTACCTTTAGGGATAGGAAAGTTATTATACTGAGCCAAAATACTGTTTTTTAAAAAATATTTGTTCCTTTTGATGTATTTATACAAATGATGCTAAAGTTTTCATGTATGTTATGTAAAGGCACTTTAAGAAGGTCCATTCTTTAGTTCAATAAAGGCACTACATATTTTTTCTTACAGCACTGCTGGTTTTTTTTCCTCATTCCTCCACTAAAGCATGCTGAGAATGAACAATGGCAAGCAGCAGTCTTGACGTGAAGTGTCTTAAACAAGACCGGTATATTAGATCTTCATTCAGGGAAAATCATTAACCATTGTGTTAATCTGGTCTCGGCACAACATTAACACTAACTACCTCGCCCTGCCTGGGCAAACGGGAAATGCGAGCTTGGCTCTGCTCTGTCCTGTACTCTCCTTGCAGTGAGGTGAAGCTAGAGCAGCCCCAAGGCTGCTGCTTCGCTCTCTGGGACCAGCACGGTCCCTAGCAGTGCTCCACTGAGCAACCTTCTGCTGCAGCTCCTCAAGAGCTGGGGGAAATGCAGGAGACCTCAAATGGAGGAAATGTGAAGGGCTTCTCAGCAGCAGTGGAGAGGCAGCCTTCTCTGCTTGTCTCCTTGGGCAAGCCCTGACTTTCTAATCTGCTCCAGGAAAGCCAGAGCCTTGGCAGTGGGGCTGTAGGGGCTGGTCTTGCATGAGACCTCGTGTTGATTTCAGAGGGGCTAATGTGCTTAGCAAGCATTACCCTTAGCATAGGATAATAAAAAAGGAGCTTATAAAAGTAGGAGTTTTAAATTTGGTCTGTACTTTTTGCATTCTGATTGTTTTGAACTTCTTGAAAGCTGTTACTGAATACCATTTCTGACCCTTTTTCTACTACAGGTAACACCAGCTCTGTTTACTTGCTATTTTAATCCAAAACCATGACAGCTTGTTTTTTCGAGCAAGATAGATAAGCAGATAAGAAAGCCATTAGAGGAGTTCTTCTGAAATGAGTTTTTATATACCTGTGTAACTCTCACAGTAGTTGTTTTTCAGAATCCAAGAACTTTTGTTAACTTCTGTATAACCAGCAGCAATAAGCCTGATTCTATATTTAGACTGTATCAGCATTTTCATGTGAAATTTCCCAAATGAAGTATTTTCAAGACCTGTATTGAGAATGCTTTTGTTTTTCAGGCCTGATCTATACTATACACCTGTCTAAAGCCCAGGCAAGGGTTCAGGCTGTAAATTAATGTGTGTTTGAGGGTCCTATGCATTTGTTGCTTCCCCTTAGGAAGGGGATCACTAGGAAGGGGATCACTAGAACCATCGCTTCCATGCTGACAGCAGCACAGCACAAATTCTTTTTAAGCAGGAGGTGGTGGATGATTTGCTTCTGCTAAGGTGCTCTTCATTCCCCACCCCTCCCAAGATACAGCACCTTTGAACTAAGTCTGCGTACTTAGAGATGAAAAGACTGCAGTGGGAAGAGTCAAGTCGGAGAAGATCACTGTTCCCAGGTAACTGGACTCAGCAAGGTTTACTGCGAGAGCTGAAGCCAGCCTGACCAGCAGGTTTCCTGCCTGGACTAGAGGAACAGCAGGACTGTGGCCAGTACTGTGACAAAGCCCTCCCAAGTGAGGGAGTCTTCTCTTCTTCAAGTCTTCTACATTAGTTTAGTCCCATCCTCCTCAAAGCCATTGAAAGCAAAGCTTTCCATTCACTAAGGAGAATGAAGATCTCCATGTGAGGCGAGTAAAGCTAATGTAGTTCTCGGATGTCTTCACTGGTAATGAACTTAAAGGGAAGGAAGTTAACCAAACCTTAAGCCCCTGGATGAAGCAAGAGGAAGAAAGACGGGGGAGGGTGGGGGCAAGAACCGTTGACTTCAGGAGGACACTGAAGCAGACATCCAGAGAATCAGTCTAATTTCTGCATGTAAAATAAACTCAGAAGTAGGATTTTAAAAAGCGGTTATGATGCTTATGATGTAAAATTTACAAGTTTTGTTTATTATATTTTGGGTTGTATGCGTTCGTTGTTTGAATGTTTGTCTTGCAAGAGTATTAAAGAGGCTCTTCAACACCTAAATACTTTTTTCTGTAGTTTTCTGCTTGCTCTTTTAAAAATTCTGGTTTGGTTTTG